GGTCACTGGCTCGGCTCCTCAGCGAAAACCTGAATATGCGTTGCATCTGCTGCCTACTTATACTCACGCTGTGATCAGCAGCAGCTGGATGCAATAATCGCATGCCAATGTGCATTGGCTCGTTTAGTTTACACTCGAAGTAGATTGGTCCCTCTAAGTGAGATCCCAATTCGTCGGTCATCCGACGTGACGTCTCCGTTCCCTCCTTCAGGGAACGAGGGTTACATACGTAACCGAGACGTTATCTGTTGTTGTTGGGTTGAACCAAATTAGAATTTTAAATCAGTAAATTCCTCTTCCTGTCACACGTCCTATGGGGTGTTGCCAATTCAATTGAAATTTACATTCATAAATTGAAAGCATATTCTTAAATTCCAAATTTTGCCCAACCCTGATGTGTGTGCGCGTTGTGAAAGAGTGTGTTTTTCTGTTTGTCTTTACTGAGCTTCCGCTGACACCTGCAGAGGAATCGTGCTTTTAGGGGAAGAGGAGAAAACAACCACATCTGCCCCTTTATAAATCATGCAGTGGTATTCCTCCGTGTGTGTGTGTGTGTACTTGTGAAACGCCCCATGCTCTAAAGGGGATAATGCATCTAAAACAAGCTCCCATTGCCTGTCACTGCTGGTAGCTGTGTGTTTCAGAGCCGGGGCAACTTCTCAATCGAGACTCATTCATTTCTTTCATCTGGATCAATGTTGCGATCCTTTCATAGCAAACAATGTCCATCCGCAATTGAAAGAGGTCCCCCATGAGGTTTCCGCCTGTGTAAATGATAAAACAAGATTATTTTGAGGCACGTCCATTGATGACTAAGCCTCTGAACCGTGCTATGCTGGGCTCCAGACACTTGAACTCGCATGAATATGAGTCACTTTACTCGCACATTATAAATAAATGCTCACAACGATTTGACCTTTAGATTTTCTTTCAACAGTCTCTCAACAGTTTTACACTAAGGTCTGTTTCACACATCACGTGAAAGCAGCTCGTATTTATTTTTGCATCCATGTTAATAGGTTACAGTATTCACACTGCTGGCAAAGTGGCTCTGTCTACAGGAGTGTAAGTGTATGTTTTGGTGCTGGGCCTTTTTCTGATCGTGCTAAATTAAACTCGGCAGAAAATGCATTTTAAACCTACTTTTCAGAACATTTGTTGCAATTTAAACTACTTCAGTAAACTACTCTGTTATTTGAAGACATTTGTTGGGCTCCATGCATACATAGTGACTGCATTGTCTATTCAGTAAATCTGACAGTATCCAGCTGATTCAATTAGTTTATAGCTCCAGTTTGGGGTTTAGTGTCATTCTGTGTAGATTAATTATCATCTGGAGGTAAATGTGATTCCACTCCTCATGTTACATATTTTCTCATAAATTACATTTTGTGACCATCAAATTGTAATAATTCTCAATGGACAACCCCTGATTGCGATGTATGGTTGTTATTAAAGAACACTTGCAATACAGTAGCACAGAAATAATTGTATTTTCTGTATAGAGCAGCATGAGTCTGCTGTTGTAGATACATTGTTGTTTTCCTTATGCGTTCACTGTGAAATAGGCCTAATTGTATATACTGTAAGTGATAACTTGTTGTTTTGTTGCAGCATCTAATTAATGTGGAATTTGACAATTATAGATATATAGTATACACCACTGTTCTAACGTTTGGGGTCAGTAAAATTATTTAATATTTATGCTCTTATGATCATCAAGGCTGCATTTATTTGGATAAAATACAGTAAAAATGGTAATTTTGTGAAATATTATTAACATTTAAAAATTAAAATGCAGTTTATTCCTTTGGGAAAGCTGAATTTTTAGCAGCCATTTCTCCAGTCTTCAGTGTTCAAACTTACTGACTACTTTCTAACAACAAATCTTACTGACTACCAACTTTTGAACAATAATGTATAGTTGATAGTTGTTTCTTGTGCACAAACAACACATACCAAGATGTGCGTGGATTGTAATAGTAATGGCAAGCAACTCCATGTTTGTAATACTTTGTTTGTCTCTTTCGTCTTTCCAGCATTAGTATTTTACCTAATTGAATGATTCTCTCAACAGCACATCCAACTCTCAGGCTTGTCTACCCATATAACCTTGGATGATCACAGGTAAAGACAGCCGTGGCCTATGGGTGTATACAGATCTGCAGAAAATAAGTTGACACAACATAAATAAAGGAGATATGCACATCTTTCAGGGATGCTCCAGCCTTTTCAAGATTCAAGCACATGTTAGATGTGTATGAAGTAAATGTGCAACTTTGCTTGTGAAGAGCCTATCAAATTTTCTTTTAATCATTTTGAATTTTAAGAGGCTTGACCCCAGCAACCTGACTTGTATTGAGATGTTGAGAAATTTTGTAAATGGTTTCAGTTCACTTGAAGACTCTGATGAAGTTGAAGTAGACAAAGACCCTTGTCCACATGATGTGCAAATTCAAATATAATGACTAATGAAAAGGACACCTCTCCATGTTTCCTGAGAACACTGGTTCAGAGATTATATATCCATACCCTTTGTAAACAAGAAAATTATAAGTCAGTGACAAGAGGGTTTTTGTGCACTTACTGTGGTGGCATTTGAGCTGGAGAGGTTCAGACAGATGAGGTGAAGAGGTGTGAGGGAAATAAATACCAGCAATTTATTGTATTACGCCACACTCGATACTGAGAGATGGCCACATTGGATAGTTGTTGATAGTAAATGCCAGCTGCCTGTGGACTTGTGTGCATGTGTATGTACACACCGCATTAATGTGTTGTGATATTGCCAAACGGTCACCACTTACCAATGCTGTCACCTGAAGTTTCTCACTGATCAACATTTTGTTTCGTACCATCACTTTAAAAGTTAAATATCACTCTGAATGTCACATGGATAACCCTTCTTTGCCCATAATTTAGTGTCTCTTAACTCTCGTCTTGACATTGCCGACAGAACAGTTTGTTCCCTCACAAAACCCAGCTAACTGGATTAATGAAGTGCCAGTTTTATAGATGAATCAGGTGAGGCATTGTCAGGAACAAAACATTGTGTCACTGTAACACGAGGATGGAGTTAAGATCCACTATTTTGTCTAATAGCTCCCCTCTGGAAACATCACACAATCTTTTCCGCTGAGAAAGAGACCATCAGCATTTTCACAAGACAAATGACAGTTGTATTATATGAAAATGACTTTTGCTCTGAATATTTTAGATTGTGTTGAACAAAGCTAGTAATATTTAACTAACTTAATGTAATAGTTAGAAAAAGAGTGTAACGTCTTATTGAAATATTTATGATGAACAGAAGCCCTCTCAGATTGCGGAGAATCTCTTGGATTTTAGTACTTAATGTGCTCTCTTTACAGGCCTTAACATTCCTTGATGTATCTTTTATAGATTTAAACTGCACTTTTATGTGATGTCAAACAGGGTATAAAAAGCTTTTAGGTAGCATTAATGTTTTTGTTGCATTTTTAAACACCTCTTTAAAGGCATTCAGACTCATAACATTAAATATCAGTGTTTCTGATATTTCACATGATGAAATATCAGTTTGTTTAATTAAATCCTTTTTTAAATGTTTGCTTTGGGAGGAAACTGTTATTTGTTGCTTTGGTTTTATTAAATGGTCTTGTCAGATTACTTGTGCTTTGTAACTCAACAAACTCTCAGTGTTGAGTAAAGCACTTGTAAAATCATACAATTTTGTCTGATTTTACAATTACATATAATTTTGTCCCGGCATGTACATTACATATCAGAACCTGTCCTGCACCCAGCAGGCGGCTGTGAACAGTAAAAGTGGTGTTGAGGGTAATACTCATAATCAGAAAACTGCTGACTAAAAGGACTGCGCCAATAAGTGAACTGTACTGATAGGACACTAGGGATGTAAGTGTCTGATAAATTATTTATTACTTGAACACAAACATAATAAGTTAGATAAGCTTGAATTCGTTAAGTACATTTGAATAATGTATGGCTAAATAACTTGCCATTTTTAAGTTTTTTTTTTTTTTCTTGAGTAGATCATTTCCAGTTTTTTTTAATTTGCTGTTTCTGGTTACTCTTTATGGATCATACCTGGTTTATATTTTAAATAATTCTTTAAGGATCTTTTAAACCTTTTTAATGTCTTTAAAATAGTAGTAGATAAAGAATTCATAATGTGGTAACTATGGGATAATCCACCATATAAGGGGCTGTGAATCTGCTCTGAATTCTTAAGAACATTAATACAGCATATCCACTTAAGAAAATAAGTTGTTCACCCTTTGTTGCCACTGGCCTTCTTTAGAAACTCTTTGGTTTCTTTAAATTGTATTGTAATAAGCAAATCCTAAAGTACGCTGAGTGAATAGAGAGCCTACTATGAACATATAAAATTGTAAAATGTAGTCTAAATGTTTTAACACATTAATATGTGGTTGCTAACATGTTCTGGATGTTTATCACATTCATCCTTCAAAGCAACTCTAAAGGTGCAGTCATGTTACCAAATTTTGGTGAAATGAAAAAAAAAGTCTATTGTCAAAATTGCATGCTTGAAGCTCTATTCAGACAAAAGTCACTTTCAAACTGCGCAGCTTTCTGTTGGTGAATTTGCCTGACCAATTTGAACACAAACTAAATCTGCACAGGGAACTTTTTCACCTTCGTGTGAGACTCCAATCATGTGGATTCCTGTTGAAATGACTGGATTTTACCTGTGGAATTGTCTGTCATTCATGTCTATAGTGCAACAGTACAGAATCTATGCACTAAAGTTGTTTAAATCTGTCTGTACGAGCAATAACAGCAAGTACTACTAAGTGTGATGAAGAATCTATAATTGAATCTACAGTAGTACTCAGTAGTTAAATCTCATGTTTTTCTATTTGTATGTTTCAGACCTGGTCCTCCGTTGGTGTACGATGGAAGGTGGATTCCTTAGTTACTATGAAAATGAGAAGAACGCTACACCCATAGGCCGGGTTGACGTCAGCGATGTGGTGAGCCTGGCCATCAACAACACTGAGAACATCACTGAAACAGGGTACGTGTTTCCCCCTCCCTCTCTGTCTCTTTCTCTCACACCATCTTGTTAATGAACTCATTCATTTGACCACCTTTTGTGGGTTAGAGGTTACGGAAAGTGTTTTAGATGTGACCCCACCTCAGAGTTTCCATACACTAACAAACACTAACAAGAAATGAGAGGAAACCGACATGCTGGCCGACCTCTAACCCGATTAGCCTGAAATCCCCCTTTTTCTTGAATTCTTTTGCTCTCACTACTGTAACAGAAATATCCCCCTGTCCAAAAATGTGGGCCACAAGTCAGAGCTGTTAAAGCCATTAAGAGAGTGGCCTTTCCCCCTGGATTAATCTCCAGCGTTCAGCTGTTTATTGTAAGAGCAAAAGACTAACAGAGATTAATCACCATCCTTTCGGTTTCACAGCTGTGAGCATGTGGGCATGTGTGTGTTTCAGTCACTTTGTGTGTGTGTGTTAATTGTGCTGTTTCCACACCTCCCTCAGGCCAGTGTTCACCTTTGAGTTGTACCTCCGCTCTCAGAGAGTGCTGGTGTTCGGAGCGGAGACCTCAGACGCACAGCAGGATTGGACACATGCCATCGCCAAGGTTACACTCACTCGAACACATAAAATAACTCTTAAAAGATTTAGGGCAACTTCAACGTTGCAGGGGTTCAGCATATGTGTGCGTCTGTGTTTAAATATGAATTGCAGCGTTGCCGCACTGTGCTGTATGCATAGACTCTTGAAGGTCATTTTATTGTGTCTTTGTCCCTGTTGTGTCGGTGTGCGTTAGTGTTTTTCTTGTGCGAGTGGGTGTATGCTATTACTCCTTCAAACAGATGCATCTCACTTGCCTCTCATCCCTCACTCACACACACACACACACACACACACTCACATGTATTCCCATTTAAGTGAAGTGTGGAGGTGCTAGTGTCTAGGCTGAAGTGTTTGCGTAACTCTGAGAGCTCAGCTAGGGAATGTTCAAAGGGTGTTTGTGTTTGTACTTCTATCTGTATATGCCGGTTTAATGCAACTCCAGGGTTAGCTGTAGTTTCTGTTTGGCAGAAAACACTAGAAACTTCTTTGTGTCATCTGCACAAGCGCCTGACTTTTAAATGTTTTCTCTGCATCTCACGCGGCTCCTCTGTCTAATGTTTTTCTCTTTCGTTTCAGTGTTTTGTCCCTGCAAGGGCAGATGCTCTGCTGAGGCTGGACAGTGAGCTTATTGGCCGACTGCACTATAAAGAGGGTCATGACCTTTATCATTGGCGAATGGGATGGTTTGCTCTGGTGGGCTCAGAACTCTACTTCTGTTCTGGAGATGAAGATGAAGAGGAGGGAGTTCTTCAACTCAAACGCCTACAGGAGCTTAGTGAGGACAAATATGCATGCATACCAGTCGAATGAAAGATATTAAGGGAATAGTTCATCCATGTTTTTCCAAACCTGTATGACTTTCTTTCTGTTGTTTAGTTTTTGAAAGATTTATCATGGCTATTCTTTTTAATATAATGAAAGTAAATGAGACTGGGACTGCCAAGCTCTAAAATTACCTAAAAAAACCCCCCTCACCATTACAAAGTATCATGAAAGTCGTCAATAAAGTCTTTTAGTCTGCTAGTCTTTTGGACTTACTTGATAGCTTTCTGTGAGGAAAAGTGCTATTTTAGTATTATTTATATACTATGATAATATTTATTTATATTTTGAATTAGCTTTGATTTTTATATTTACTGTTTTATTTTTAGTTTAATTTTTAGTAGTTCTGTATTAGTTTTTTGTTTATATAGCTTTATATAGCTAATTTTTATTTTATTTTAATTAATTTTTTTACTAATTTTAGTACTTCATCCTAAATGACATAATGACAATAAAATGCTATGACAATAACATAGCATTTATGATACATTCATTGTGTTTCTGTATCCTTTTTGGAGCTTAAAAACGATAGTCTCTAATGGATGTAACTGCTTCCATCACATTATTCTCCCATTGTGTTCTACAGAAGAAAGAAAGTCATTCAAGTTCATAGTTTCTGGGTGAACTAATCCTAAAATTGACCACTGAATGTGTGTTTGTATGTGCGCTTTTAATTCTAGCAATTTTTTCACACTCATTATATGCTCTCAGTAGGCATTTTTTGGATCATCTGTTTAAAAAGATTGTCCATATTGTCTATTCTTTTAATGAATTACATTAGTGATGTCTGAGGTAAAGTGTCTCAGTATTAGCAAGAGACACCTTGAGCCTCACGATCATCTTCTTGAAATCTCGTCTGAAATATTAGCCCTAGTCTTCTGTGCCTTCTCTGTCTATTGCTAGTATTTCCTGGTTGGCATTCAGTGTGCTAATGTTTGACTCCGTTCCCACGTCTCTAAAAGATTCGTCTGGTCACACGTCTCGTCTGTCTCCAAGGGAGACCGCGGTTGCCGATGGCAATCGTGTTTGGGCGGGAGGTAGTTGACACGATCTTGGCACCCATGGACCAGATTTGCAACATTTTCAATCAATTGCACTAGAACGAGGCAGGAAAAATCAATGAATCTCTTTTTTTCCTAATACGTTCAAGGCCAAAAAAAGGATCAAATCCAGAAAGCCAACATACTCGGGGCAGGATTAAGAGGGTGATGCCTCAACAGTTCGCGGAGCCTTGAAATGTAGCGTGGCGCGCTAACGAAGCGTCTCCAGTGGTTTAAGATCTCTATAGCGACAGAACATATGGGCCTCAAAGGGCTGAAACTCTGTGAAATTAGATTAGGACACAGACATAGGCAGACCAGCAGTTCACAGCTTGCCCTAGCTCACCCTCTTTTACTCGCTCCTGCCATAAACAGGAGTGCAATGTCAGATTCATCCATTTAGCAATGGAAAAGCCTTGTGTAGAAATGACATCTGAAAGTCATACATAATATTTTGTCTACAAAGGCTTTTGAAAGGAATTCTCATAGTCTTTTGTAAGTAAATGCTTCAAAGCACCTCTGAATAGTTCCTATAAACTTCCTGAATGACAGTATGGTAATGTTATAGTATTTGTCAAAGGCTTTGCTGTCCATGGTCCTGAAATGTGTCACGCAAGTACATGCAGGTTCTCCGATATAAGAAATCCGATATTTGTTCTTGAAGATCTTAAAAGGTGCCTCATGTACAGTGGGGTCCAAAAGTCTGAGGCCACATTGAAAATCTGGGATTAAAAAAAAATCTAATTTAGGGCATTAGGTTGTGACCATATCCTTATGCATTTTGTTTTGTATCTTTAGATTCAGTGTTAAAATGAACACTAAACAAAGCAGGGCTAAATGTATAGTATTCATTTTTGGTCCGGACCAAAGGAACTGAACTACAAATGTAAACACAACCTTAAATTTGAAAGCCACATTTGAGAAATATTTCAGGTCCTGCACTATTTCTAGTTAATTAAAATAAACTTGTGACATTGATCATGTGACTCTGTACCGTTGGTCAGATTGAAGTTCGAGATGCTCTTTGGATCATCTCAGATCATGCTAGACACCTTTTTTACACAAACTTATGAAGTTTATGCTGCTTGAGTGCTGCTGTCATTAAGGCAAAAGTTAGATAAAAATTAATGTATTTTTGAAAGTCGTATCAATCCTTTTGTTCAACAGTTGTGTTATTGCAATAAAAACTGTATGTCCATTGGGAACTTTAAGCATAATTACTTTTAAAATGGGCCTCTCTTTCATCTGTCAACATAATCTAAACCCTCACTAAATGCAAAGGAAGCTCGCTGGCCACCTTTAATCTGAAGTCATTCTTCCCTTGTAAATAATTTCCATATATGTGTAAACAAGAAAAAGAGAGCCGAGAGAGGTGTTATTGGAATCTCAATGCTAGTCCCAGCACTACAAGGCTGTTTGGTTTAATTCTGTTTTTTAATTCCGTAATAAAAGTTAAGGGCGTTAATGTTTAAGGGAGGTTAAAAGGATGAAGTGAGTGGTGTTTGTTTTTTATCAAACTGTGATAGTGAATGTTTGCCTCTTTTCAGTAATGGCTTTTAATAAACGTTGTGTGCCCAGTAGCGCTCCTTTCCTTTTTATAAAATCACTTTCAATAACATTGGTAAACAAAATTTGCCAACCTTGAAAATGGCTAAAGTGCAACAATTAAAGTGCTTGTTTTTAGCACTTAAGTTCCTATGTTTCGGTTGATTTTAGCTGAGTGTTGAGTTTCAAAAATATTTGAGCAATTTTGTTCTCACTTGACCTGTTTTTATTTGGTTGTGTTTTTATTACTCTGAAATGGATTAATCTCGGAATTTATGCACAAGTGATTGACTCTATGAATTTGATTAATTAATTAAACATAATACAAAGATTGACGGAGAGTTTTGGTCATTGAATATGATTTGCAATATTGGTCTGGCACTTGAGGGAAAGAGAGAGACAAAAGGGAGTGGGAAAATTACAGATGTGAGGAAGATTAGTTGAAGAATCAATGACTCTGAATGTGTATGTACAACTGTGCATGTGTCTGATGGGTTCAGTGAGGCAGTTTTCTCATGTACTGCAGTAGAAACTAATGACCAGCAGCACTCAGCTTTCTGCTCCACTTACTCCAGCTGGAAAGTTTACAAAACACTAAAGCTCTCATCATTTGTTTAACTTCATGTTCCTCTGTTTTCTTTCACTCTTAATGCTTTTCATTTTAGTTTGTCTAAGAGTGCTTTTATCATTCTGTCAAGGTAATAGAGTTATGGACTGCTTCAGCAAAGTTTTTCCTATATTTTTTTTCCTCAGCTGTGTCCACTCATATGGAGGGTGATGAGAAGATTCAGGTCTTACTCATGGTTGAGAGTGGGAGGTACAGTACACTAGACGCCTAACACCATAATGCAACATAAAAGACTGCTGCTATTAAGTTTCAGTAAACATACACTATCGTTCAAAAGTTTGGGATTTTATTTATTCATTGAAAGTAAGAAAGAAATGAATTAATACTTTATTTTGTGTATTCAGACTCATTAAAATGGTCTAAAGTGGCAGTAATGTCAACAGACATTTATAATGTTACAAAATATTTCTGTTTCAAGTAAATGCTGTTCCTTTCAACTTTCTATTCATCAAGGAATCCTGAAAAAGCATAACAACTGTTGTTAACATTGATATATGAAAAGTTGTTTGAGCACCTAGCTTATTAGAAATGGTTTTTGGAGGTTCATTTGACACTGGACTGGAGTAATGACTGCTGAAAAATCAGCTTTACGATCACTGAAATAAATTATTTTTTGATATATATAAAAATAGTAAACAGTTATTATAAATTTTAATGATATTTCACAATATTTCTGTTTTTACTGTATTTTTGGTCAATTAGGTGAGCATAAGAGCCTTTTGAACTGAAGTGTACAGTGTTGTCGCCATGCTGTCATAACTCCTCTTTTTGTGAATTATATTTTAATTTGTAAATGTGTATGTGCATGTGTGTGTTTTTCTTTTTTTTAAAATACAGAACTGTGTACATACATGGCATAACCAAGCAGGACTTTGCACTGTGGCATTCTTCCATCCAGCTGGCAGCTGGGACAGACGGTATGGCTCTCGGCAACCAGCAGATGAATAAAAATGATGTTCCTATCATTGTGGACAGCTGCATTGCTTTTGTCACCCAATATGGTATGTTGTTTATATTCCTATGAGATCTAAACAATTGTATTTCATTGTGAAGTATTTAATGTATCTAATTTTTGAAAATTATTATAATTTTTTTTAAAAATTATATCATAAAGGACACTATAATGTTATATCACAAAGCTCTTACCGTTGACCTTTCCCCCAGGTTTGTGTTATGAGGGAATCTACCAGAAGAACGGTGACCCGGGCCGTGTGGCCCAGCTCCTGCAGGACTTTACCAAGAACGCTCGGGTTGTTAAGCTACGGGCTCAAGACCATCGGCTAGAGGACGTCACAGACACACTCAAGAGCTTCCTGTCTCACAGTGAAGACGCTCTATTGGCTAAAGAGCTGTACCCTTTTTGGATCTCTGCCCTTGGTTAGTGCTGCCAACCACTTAATCTGTTCCTGTGAATGAACATTAATTTGTGTTCAATTATAGATCAAACTACTCTAAAGTCCAGTTGGTTGTTATTAAAGGTGTGTTCAATAGTTCTTTAGCTAGTGTTTGCATCATTATTCTTTTTGTACTTTAAGTACAGTTACCACAGTAGTGTTAGATGCCACACTGCCATCTATCGATGTGGATCAGCATGATCTTTATTTTTTGTCTTTGTTTTTGTCAGCCTTCTGGCTTCAGATCTTTTTTGCTTTTTCAGTTGTAGAGGTACTGGTTCTCACATTGTTTCCACTGGCAAAGCACGATAGAAGCAAAAGTGTGTTCTTTTGACTGATTTTCACTCTTTACATCATGAAACGCTACTAGGGTATCTACAGAGGCATCAGCTAATGAGCATGTGGATTATCTTCGTCATTTTATGATGGCAAAATACATTAAGTTGGTTGACTGGCATCATGTATAATTAAAACACTTTTTTATAGAAAATTTGTATGAGCGCAGTCTTCATATGGTGTGAGTATAAACCAGCACCAAACTACTGAATGCACCTTTAAGGGGCTTGGTCAAGGATATTTTTTTTGGTGTAAAATGCAAACAGAACTTTATGTGGATGCACATTACATTTCTACCTTAAATAGTGTTTATTGTCCATAAATGCAGATGAACAGGATGAGAAGGTCAGAGTGCAAAAATATTCATCCTACATTCAGAGTTTACCCAAAGTCAACAGGTCAACACTTGGTGCTCTGCTGCAGCATTTGTACAGGTAATTCCCCCATTTTACAACAACAACATTCTGCAATTACATCCTCTGAAGCCAGTAACATTTCCAGTTGGTATTGTGTTAATGTTTGAAGTCTGGTTAAATAGCTCACAGTAAACATGGGCACTCCAAACCCTCACTGGGTATGTCAGATTGCTCGAAATATTCTTGTAATGACTGTAATTGTTTGAAGAAGACTTAATTGGCCCTTTTGGCATATTTGGAGTGTAGCCTAACATTTCCCCCATGATGTACAATAATCGTTTTGCTGTGTTCAGGTCTACACAGCATTTACACCTGCCTGCATTCTTTTGTTGCTAATATGTGCTTTTATTTAAATCTACTCACTTCCTGCCATAGCTTTCTTCATAAAACTGCCTTAAAGTTCTGCTAGCAATAACACAGTGCCAACAAAAACTTTTCTGATCAAATATGTTTTCCAATATGTTAAGTGCTGTATTTACAATACCGTTAAAAATTGGGATTAGTAAGAATTTTTTTTTAAAACTTGAACATAATACTTAAATACTTTGAGTTTAAAGACAGTAAAGACTTTTGCATTAAAAAATCTATTTCAAATAAATACTGTTGTTTTGAACATTTTCTATTCCTCATGGTTTCCACAAAAATATTAAGCAGAACACCTGTTTTCAGCATTGATAATTATAACAAAATTTCTTAAACAGCAAATCAAAGTATTACGTTGATTTCTGAAGGATCCCATGGTTCTGAAGAATGGAGGAATGGCTTATATAAATTCTGATTTGCATCTCAGGAATAAAATACATTTTTAAACATAAAAATAGAAAATGGTTATGTTCAATTTGAATAATATTTCACAATATAACGGTTTTACTGACTTGAGCATAAGAGACCTTTCAGAAACATTAAAACAAAAATCCTACAGACAGCAACATTTTCAACAGTAGTGTAATTAAATAAATTAAATAATTAAAAAATACATAAGTCAATCTATGTAAATATTACAATTTAATTTAGGCATCATAAAATAGTTATACTGCTATACTACTTCACTTAAGCTTGAGCTTGCATGCAAGAGCTGCAACAGTTATTACAAATTACACACAGAATTCAGTGAATTCAGAAGTGTATATATTTGTATGGACGGTGTGTGTTTACTCATCTATGATTTATGTAGGTCTTTTTCCAGAAATATTCCCATATTTATGCACATATATTATATCTGCACAGGATCCAGAGGTGCTCGCTTATCAACCAGATGAACACGCAGAATCTGGCATGTGTTTTCTCCTCGTGCCTGTTTCAGACGGAAGGACACACAGCTCAGGAGACCCGTGTGGTGGAAGACCTCATCAACAATTACATCCAGCTCTTCTCTGTGAGTTAAACGTGTGTCCTCTCTCAGGATCCAGACCTAGTTGATCTCTGTCGCTTGAGTCCCAATGACCTGCTAAACGTGAGACCGCTCCAATATTCACTCCCCTCATATTCACGGAGACATTTCACAGTGTTGTTTTCACAGGTGTGTGGGGTTAATTAATAATTTATACTGTTATACCCTTTTTATTAATACACAAGAACTTGATTTAGTAGTCAGTTGTGGTCTCTTTATTACTGAAGAAATGGACGTGAGACATTGATCTTCTTGTCCATTCGAATTATTGCTCATGAAAATAGACGCCTGTCTGTGTTGAACCCCTCATTTGAAGAGGGCTATAACAAACTGGCAAGCTGTATATATGACAAACTCCATGGTGCTATGAACAGTGAAAAGCATTTCCATTCAACACAGCGAAATGCGCAGCTTTAGTGTAAGTGTGTGAAGAAGGGGACGGTGTTCGTGTTGCACTTGGACGCGTGTCTCTGTAATGGGATTTACAGTGCTGCGCTGTGCTAATTCCCCCTCGGCCCGCTCGTACATTCATAGGCCCCTGGCTTCGCACATACACACGCTTGTACTTTTGGAGAGAGGGAGAACGTGTGAAACGTGAAGTTTAGTGTTGCTAACAGCCATGATCTAGAGAAAAATATGGGAAATTTCACTAAAGTAATATGCAGCATAACACCAAGGCATGCAGGTGTAAATTAAAAGTTTACTATATATGTTAACATTTTTGTTTGTTTTTTTACAAATGTGACAATGTGGTCAAACTGCTAAGTAAATTCAAGGTATTGTTATAAAAATAAAGATTTTAAAATCATTCATTCTATATCTTATAAATACATTTAAGCATCACAACATAATGTGCAGTATGAAAATGTTTAAGCTTACATTTAGCAGTGTTAAAGATTAGCTTTAAATGAGCATTATTTCTTTTCCAGTATATTTACATTTAGAATCTTAATGCAAAAATAGGATAATGAGCTTGCACCATTAGATATCAATTATTGGCCATTTTATATTAAAATCATCTGACAACTTATATTCCACTTATGTATGTTATTGACCATTCAACTAAGTTTTCTGACATGCCATTGCAAACTTGTCCACTTATGGGATGCTTTTTGAAGAGTTGAAACGCCCTGACTTTGCTGTTGGGGATGTGAGCAGGTCTGTTTACTGTGCACAGGGGCTTTAATCTGTGTTTATCTGTGTGGGTCCATTAAAACAGGTCAGTGAAGAGCAGGTTAGGCAAATGGAGAAAGAAAACAGCTTTATCACCAGGTGGAAGGACACCACAGTAAGTCACCCCTTTTAACCTTCCTGTTAAATAGGTGTGTATGTGTGTGTTTGCGGGTTTTTTATAAAGCATGATGTTACAGGCCATAAATGTGTGCATTTAGCTTTTAACTTCCTTGTGTTGGCATATATGTGTGTACGTTTTTACAGGTCACAGAATCACTTTGACCTGTATTGGTATTGTTTTGAGCAAATTAGAGCAAACATCAAGCTCTTTGTGCTACCTAACCTTTCTGTCTCCTGCTTTATACCTCGCTGGCATCATAAGGAACAATTTGTTCAGATAAGCTGAAAAACAAATTAATCTTCCTTTGTTTGCTACTGTCCAAGTTTAAAAAGTTTCAGTGAATGTGTTCAAGTTTGGGCAAGGACAATGCTGGAACTGACCCATGAAAAATACTTGAAGCTTTTGAATGCTTAAACACATTCACATTCACACACTGAAACACAATACAATACCAGTCAAAATTCATGAATTACAAGCATGATCACCACAGAAGAGATGAATTTAGGTCATTTTTATTTGAAATGCATTTTTTATGTATTTTTCACAAACATCATAGATCTGGACCGAACATGACTGTTATGTCACTGGCCCATTTGTGACCCTGGACCACAAAACCGGTCATAAGTCACATGGGTATTTTTGTAGCAATAGCTAATAATACATTGCATGGGTAAACATTATCAATTTTTTTTATGTCAAAAATCATTAGGATATTAAGTAAAGATCATGTTCCATGAAGATATTTTGTAAATTTCCTACCGTAAATATATCAAAACTTAATTTTTGATTAGTAATATGCATTGCTAAGAACTTCATTTGGACAACTTTAAAGGCTATTTTCCTTATAATATTTAGATTTTTTTGCACCCTCAGATTCCATATTTTCAAATAGTTGTATCTCAGCCAAATATTTTCCTATCCTAACAAACATCAACATTTCTCATCCATTTCATACATCAATGAAAAGCTCATTTATTCAGCTTTCAGATAATGTATAAATCTCAATTTTAAAAAAATTGACTCTTATGACTGGTTTTGTGGTCCCGGGTCACGTTTATGTATGGGAAAAACTCATTTTAAGCATAAGCCTTTAGATTAGTGGTTCTCAACCTTTTTGACTCAGTGGCCACCTATTCTCCTACACATTATTTTAAGGCCCTTCATACTGGTTTATATATTTAAACACATATATTACATCTGCACAGTATCCAGAGGTGCTCACATATTAGCCAACCAACATAGCATTTAACTTAATTATTTTTAATGTAATGAAAACATTTTAAGTCACCCTGTTTGTTGAGGCCCCCGCAGTGTGTCTTAGCCCCCTTGGTTGAGAACCACTGCTCTAAATCAGATAGTAGAAACATGTATTCGGCTAGTTGTGTTCAAACTTTTGACTAGTACAATTCCCTGGCTGCAAAAAACCCACGTTTCGTTGTATAAGACACAGAACATCTGAATAAGGGTGTTTATACACTGTTCTTATAGAAAGTTACAGAAGCATATGTGTCATTTACGCTACATTTAAATACATTTTGCCAACGCAGTTTCATTCGTTTAGAAGAGGAGCTTTAATCTGTGGTTTACATGAGCTAAGATGTTTGCCAGCTTTTGTTGTGTAATGCTGCTAAATGATGTGTGGGACTCCAGCTGTGTGTCATTTAGTCAGACACACACAGACGCTGGTCTGAACTGAATGGGCTGCTGATTGCTTTTGTATTGTATCCACAAAGACTGCTGTACAGTTGGGTGCTTAGTTTCTTAGATAAGCTGTGCTCTTTCTTTCTTTCTTTCTTTCTATATATTTATATGAATTAAGTATGTGTTTAAAGTTGTGTGTGTGTGTGTGTGTGTGTGTTTGTCTCTCTGTTTTTACCTGTTTTTGCAGTTCTCTCCTGCTGGTGACCTGATATTTGAAGTCTACTTAGAAAAAAAGCAGCCAGAGAAGTGCTGTTTAATCAAGGTTTGTTTCCCTCGCTCTCTGTGGTGTGTGTGTGACTGTTTGGCTGAACCTAGAGGGTATTCTGCCACAGACTAAATCAAACCGCAGTTAATCAAAGGCATGTCTGATTTAATTGTGAGAGTAATTGTGTTTTATCAGTAGTCAAGGTAAACCTCAGTTAATAGAGGTTGCTTCAGAGTGTTTTTTCCCCTTGACACTTCTTTGACATATTTTTTCCTATTTTCCTCTCATTTCTCCTCCAGCAAAAGTAGATAAATCCTTTCGCACAAGGCAATGAAGTCTTGAACATTTAAAACACGGAAAACAGAATAATACTGATGTCTGTGTCTATAAGGTGTCTCCTAGCATGAGGTCAGACGAGCTTGCCATCAGCACTCTGGAGATGAAGGGGATGGAGGTCAAAGCTCAAGATCTCTGGACCACTTTTGAGGTCATTGAGAATGGAGAGATGGGTAAGGGTCCTGCTGCTGTTAAATCTTACAATTAAACGATAACAAACAGTTGAAATCAGTATCAGTAAATTTAACTTGGGAGTGAATTCTACATAAAGCATCTTTTTAGCAAGTGTATAGCAAATTATTAGAGCATTTAATGATGTTCCTCTAAGGCTTGCACACACATTAAAATGCTTCAATAGCTAAGTGAATGCACATGATTAGTACTATTATTATTTCATGAGGGTTATGCGAAACTATTAACAGATTGTGATGCATTGGTGGGAGGGAGAGACAGGTGGTGTAAGAGTGATTTTTGCCAATAGCGAGCATTGTGTTTTCCTTTTTACAAATTACAACTTGATAATGGATCTATTTTGCACTTGAGTGTGTTTTCTAATCATAGTCAGATTGGCTGGCGATAATTACAAATTTGCACCACATAATTATGCTTGTGTGGAGGACAAACCCAAAGCAAAAACAGTTTTTTGGGGGGTGGTGATGATGAGGAGGATTGTTTTTGTTTTTTTCATGTAATCTGTATGTAAGAATATACAGTCCTACTGATTCATTTTTTAGATTCTAGAGACTCTTTTGTATGTTTGTCCAGGAACATATTGTATAAATTTACACAACATTTACACAAATGTCTGCTCTCCACATTGCAACCAGCAGTCCATCAAACATACTATGAATTGCGTTCTGACATGTTTTGAAGCACAATGATGTGTGAAATCGAGCTTGCGTAGCTAGAAGCTAGAAGTGTTAACATATTTGCATAGCATATGTTTCTGGCCTTTCTGTTCTGTGGAGTCGCAATCAATTGTGAAAGAAGTCAGATGGAGCTTTGCGTTCATCATTTCTCTCTGTGCTCAGAGCGGCCCTTACACTACAATGAGAAGATTCTGGAGCAGGTATTGGAGTGGAGCTCTCTGGAGGATCCCAGCTCGGCCTTCCTGCTCATTAAGAAATATTCTGGTTCTAAAATGACAGATTCCAACTCAGGTACCAACAATGAATGTCCGATTGCACCCCAGCAGATCGCTCTAAACTATGATCGACAGATTAAACAACCTTATTGTTTTATTACATTTACAGTCAGTGTTTAATTGGAGCCACATTCAAAGATTATCTTGTGGTTATTCTTAGAGCGGTGCTTATTTTTTTTATATAGATCTCATATTTTTTAGCCTTGTTAGTATTTAGTATACTAAATGAACACAAGGAAGAATGATACTGTTTTTTTACATTTTAACATATGTGTACTAAAACATTAAAATGCCAATGCCAACAATGTCAGCTGAGGACTAAAATATATAAATAACTAAAAAGTAGAAATCAGACAGTTTCAACTGATTAAATGAATCAGACTTTACCATATCACAAATTTTTGCTATTGAGATTTAAATAAGAGATGCTATTAAAACTGCAGACATCTGTCTCAGTTCTCTCATGTTTATTTTATCATATGAAACATCCCACATGGAGATTGTGAATATTTTCAGTTGATGACCCTAATAAATCCATAAATCTGAGTTTTAAATAGATTAACTGAATTAACTTTGTGGCCAACAAAATCATTGCAAATATATAATAAATCGTCTGATAAATCGCCTAGCACTAGTTACTATCAGTCATAAAGTTTTCTGATTCTGGCCTAATTTCATAACTTTTTAGAGTCTCTGTACCAATTTCCTGATCAATTTTTCCACTCTTGATGATAAATGGCATAGTTGCAGAAAAGCAAAGCAGGTTTTTTTTTAGAAAGTGCATTTACACTTGTTTTGGTTTCCTATTGAAACCATCAGTAACGACAGCCAGAAATCATAATTTTCTACCTGCGCTGAGTAATAGCTTCTCTACATGCCTCACTAAAGATATTAATATATATTAAGCAGTCCTGTGATGCAAAGGTTTATTCATGTGGCAGGATGTGTATGTGCTAGTCTCTCAAATGTGTTAAGCTGGAAATGTGTTGCAGATGAGATTTCACTTGCTTTTCAGTACAACTTTAGCCATTTTAAAAATGCATGGCACCTTGCTAGAGTTTGAAGTAGCGGGGCTACACTGGTGCAGTGCTGCAGTATATGTATAGTTTGTATGTTCTGTCTCATAAATAGTTCATGGTATGACTCAGTATGCTTTCTTTGTGGTGTTCTTTGTTTGTGACAGATAAACTGAAAGATTTCATTAAAGGAGAGCAACTCAAATTCAAAGACGGTTCTTCCAAACTGCTTTTGGGGAATAAGTTTCAGGACCGATACCTGGTACTACAAGACAAAAAACTGCTGTTATACAAAGACATAAAAGTAAGTCTCCTACATTTTCACTCTTAGAATGGTTCCAAATATCCTTAGAATGGTCTTTAAACATCTCTGCCCATGGTAATATTTAAATATCTCCGTCCCTGCTGTTCATCGGGATCAACCTCTGTGCAGTATCTCTGTTCGCCAGCGGCCCTGCAGCAGTCGCCAGTTTACCAATTTAAATTTTTCGCCATGGCATTTCATATTAACTCTGTTTGTTTTCTTAGCATGCCTTTACAGATGAAATAGTAATTAAAAAACACAGCGGATGTGAAATTACCTGCTTTGGGCCAATCGCAGGGGCCCGCTTGTAATAAGCGTGGAGGGAAAAAAAAGGAAACAAATAAACCCTTAATGGCTATTTTCATTTTGAATTAAAGTAATGTGGGACTTCGCATACCCTCTGAAATGAGTACAGTGATTTAAACGACTGCAGTCTGTTAGGTTCTCTCTCTGTAATATCTCCTCATACTTGCTTTATTCACTCTGTGCACACGCCGATCTGCTCGTCCTCAGGGGCACACGCTCCGTGAGCTAAGACACGGTCTCCTAAAGAGTGCAGGATGTGTTAATAACTGATATTTGAGCGAAATGTGGATGTGTGTGTGTGTGTGTGTGTGTGTGAGAGAGATGGAGGGAAGGCAGAGAGGCGAAGGCACTCTGAATGAAGGCTGTTCTTTCCTTAATTAGTGTAATTTCTGGCTGCTGCGGAATATTCAGCTAATTATCAAGTGAAGAAGGTGGGAATTGGCTGTGAAGCAGAAATTTAATTGATATTCGGATGCCTTTGTTTTCTGTTTCTTGCTTTTTTTGTAAGTTAGGATTCTCGGTTAGATCTCATTTTTGCTGTCGTCGACGTGTTCGCCTGAGCCGCTCGTGTTTTGCAGTGCATTACGTACGAAGTATATCCCTTCCAGACAACAACACAGTGTTGTCGGCACATGCTAGTTTACACAATGCCCTTGGGCTCCCAACAGCTGTAAACAGGAAATTGCAGTTTTTTCCCCTTTTGATTCAAGTGAATGAGCTGGGGGAAATAAAGCAGCTACTTTTCTGCATACAGTATGTGAACCAGTTTTAGTGGTGCTAATTGTTTGGAGAGGATTTTGATAGATATATAGCATTGTAATAAAGCAGCATTAATCTTGAGCTATGTTGTATGTACTTTAAAATATGTGTAGACAGAATTATTTTTTTAATAAAAGCCCTGGGTTGATTTTGAAACATGTGCTATTGTTTCCACAGAGTACCAAACCAGAAAGAGAGGCTCCGTTAAAGTCTGTTAAATGTTACTTAGGGCTACGGAGGAAGTTGAAACCAACAAGCAGGTGATGGTCTTTTATCTAGTGCACTAAAAACCATTTGACACAAATATTTATCTTTCACATTTTAAAAAAAGTGCTGCCTAATCGTGTCTTTCTCAAGTTCATCAACAAACTGGTGCTTTTTGTAACAATTTGCCCAAACCCTCATTATGATACTTGATTTAATCCGGAGCATGTAGAGCCCACAAACAGTGGTATGAAACAAATTATTCAAAATTAGTGTGGCCACACTGAAAGATATATTAATAATCCCAAATGTGTAATTAAGATCGATTCATAAATGTTCTGACATTAACTCTAGGTTTTGTGCTCAGATGAGCTCAGAGTTCAGTCTTTATCTCTTGTGCCAAACACACAGCTGCTTGGTTTAGTGCCAAATGCCCCCCTCAGAAACAAGACTATCACAGTCAATCTGAAAGCAGATTTATATCTCACAATTATAAAATTCATTAAACGTAATTTAGCAAATACCCTGTACTATGTTTTTCTCTCTCCTGCTGGGAAAATTGTTAACTGTGGATTTGTTTCATTTCAATAATGTTGCGTTTTTGTAATTTATGGCTGTAGTGTAATTTATGAGTGCGCTTTTTTTGCTAATGATCATTTATTCATAATTTTCCTTGTGAATGTATCCACGGCATGATTCTTACAATATAATTTACCCTTAAATGACTTTCAATCTGTTTGCACATTATTTTATTTGAATTTTTCATTGAGGACATGCATACTATTTAGCTTTTGTTCATTTGAGGGTGTTTCTTCAACTATAGACACTTTTGTTTCCTGGACTAGAAAATGAACTCATTTGCACACTCTCATGTTTACTTTGATCAACAGTGGACATACGTGCATCACAGGAACCGTCATGAACATTTCTACCACAGTGACAATTTCACCAGATTTCAAATGGTATATGGTGTTTGATAACCTGTGGTGGAAATGACATTTTACACATTGTTGGAGCCTGCACATGACATGCAGGGAAAAAAACAAGATAACGTGATCATTAATTAAGAATTAATTCGGCCAAAAAAATCTGTGGCCAGTATGGTGGCCGAGAAGTGCAAAACAAATCACAATTCTGAAAACAAAATAACTTTGTACGAGATTTGAAAAGGGAGGGAAAAAAAGTTAGGCAAAAGACGGGATCGAACCCGGGTCGATCGCGTCAAAAAGCCAACGACATGCGCTTATCCATCTGTGCCACTGGAGCTGATGATTTACAGCCACTTTTAACTAAATGTAAATAGACACCCCGTATTTTTTATTCCATTTTGACTTATTATAATGTTTTCTGAATTGTTGTTGTGTTTTCTGAATTGTTATTTTGTTTTTTAGACTTGCATTTGCGTTTGTAATTTGTTATTTTGTTTTCAGAATTGTGATTTGTTTTGCACTTCTCGGCCACCGTACTAGTGGCCACGATTTAGCTAAATTAAAACAAGGGAACAAATGAATACAACATTGCCACACTTTAACTAAAACAAATTAATAATATGTGGCCACAAATTAGTAAGTTGTGGGAACTAATTTGTGGCCATGATTTAATTAAATTAAAACAAGGAAACAAAATAATTAATATAACGTGGCCATCAGGGGTGCCTGCAGGATTTCATCCGAGGGTACGCACATAGTTAAAAAACAAACAAAAAAAATAGATCAGTGAGAGCAGAACTAATGCATCACATTTTAAGCTCAACAAAATGGAAAAATACATATATCAAGAAAAGAGCATGCTCACAGATGAAAACAGAGAACAAAACAACGTTGGATAAAGTGGAATAGAGCCCTGCACGGGCCTCAAATATAGGCCCTAGCCAGTCTTTTTCCCCTTTTCCCAAAAAAGCTTATACTACTGTTTCAGCTATTAAAATAGTTCAGTTTGGTATGTAATGGAAAAATGATTATATTTAGTTTCATAATTTTTTTTTTTATAGTTAATTTAGAAAAATGTTTGCAGCATTTTTTGTTCGTTAAATGCAAGTTTTTTTAAAGTAAGGACCAAGCGGCCAGCGGCAGACAGTGAATTGATCGTAGCCTATATGTTTGATCAATTTAGCCTTCTCGAATCATCATGACTTGCCTAAAATAAAATCTATAGATATAAAACAGTTCAAGCATATCACAATGTTAGTTTAAATGTTTAACCTAGATAAATGTGCGCTGTTAGACGCATTTCCAATCGTTTGGAGTGGAAGCTGAAGCGCAGGACATGGAGGCGCCAGCACGATCACTTGCATTTTTCTCTAACAGTGGAAACCACTTAAAATACAAGTCATTTTTGCTCATAAAGGTAAGAGTAATACATCATTCTAAACTGTAAACTGGGTCTACTTTTAATTGTGTGCACTCACAATATCAACAAAACACTTTATATTAAGTGGCCTTAACAACTATGTACTTATATTTAAATTAATAATTTGGTACAATGCACTTATTGTGTACATACATGTTTTTACATTGTACTTATATTTTAAAAATACCTGCGTGTAATTACATCTGTAATTAATTTATGTAATTACATTTATAATTACACTGTTGACCCATCCCTTACACCTTAACCTACCCTTAAACCTACCCATACCAACAAACTTGACCCTAACCTTACTCGTATCACACCTCAATAGCAGCAAAAGTGTTTTGTAATACAATATGAACACAATAAGTACATTGTACTTATTTATTGATGTAAGTGCATAGTAGTTAAGGCCACTTAATATAAAGTGGGACCAAACGTGCTTTTATAAAATAAAGAAAACAAACACTTTCTGCTGTCTCGGTCTTGAGCAGGAGCGCTTCACAATGATGAACCTAAATTCAGCGAATTGCCTCACAGACATGATAAAAATATATAGAAAGCTTTACATTACTACTTTAAAACGAAATAATTTAATTCGAAAATAGAAATAGAACCATTTTTTTTCATCACCATAATTGATGGATGTCTAAAATATAAAAATAAGGAAAAGCCTAAAACAGGCCCGATTATAATTTGCGTTTTATTTTATAATTCTGTACAATTAAAAAATAAAGCACAGATTATAATGGCATATATGTAAAACGTTGTCCTATAATTGTATAAGCTGCTTATATTTTCTGATTTTTATGTTGCTCTGTTCTGAATACCTTAAAATTTAAAGGATTTGCTGCAATGCAATTTTGTCTGATATGTGAATTATTTATTAGCCTATTTTCTTTTTTATCCATGCAGCAAATGCTTTAAAAACAGCTTTAAAATTTAGGTTACTTTATTGCATTCAAGACGCTTTTAAAGTAATTTTTCACTATGAAATTTATTGGTAGCTTGAATGTAAAACATGGTCATGAATTCGTTGTATTCCCATTTGTAAAATAGCCAACAAATTAATTGTTGTAGGCTAACCCGATCTCATGAAAGTGCCTATAGCACGATTTTCTGCTTCTATTTGGCGTAATATTTATATGCAGAAATTGACTTTGGCATGCAAAAGACTGATAAATTCATAATAATGGCATGGCTGGTTCAGTCGACAGAAATACGGGACACACGATAACTGCTGAAATGTTTGCGGGGCAAATCTCCGGTCAGTCTGAGCGCTCATGGTACGCACAGTGCGTACAGCCGTACACCTACAGGCGCCACTGGTGGCCATGATTTTCCTAAAACAAAAAAATGAATTTATCAAAGGTGGCCACAATTTAAATAAGTCCTGTGACAGGCTGTTTTCTAAGTCTAATTTTATTGATAGGTTTTTAGTTTTTTTGTAAACTAATGCACACACAATTTGGTAATATTTTCACACATCACAAAATTACTGTACAGCTTAATTGGAAACCAAACAAAATGTGATGCCTTTATTACATGTAATATTTTCCTTGAATGATCATATTTCATCTCAGTCAAGCTCTTCACTGACACTTTTGAAGAAACTGTAATTGAAGTAAAAGGATTTGTTGTGGTGGAAGTGACGTCAAAAGGGGGAGACAGTTGTATTAATTAATAGAAATAATTTGCACATTATACATATTGAAATGTTGTATTTCATTATTTTATAAGATCAAGTTTTGAATTCATATTTTATACTGGGTTTTCAGAGTGAAGCAATACAATCAATATATAAAAGGCAATAAATGCTTTTTTTCTTTTCTTAAAAAAACAACAACAACAAAACACGAGGGACAAAGTACCAGAGGTTGAAGAAACACATTTTAACGCTCATTGCGTGACCATTTGTGTGGAAATAACAGCTGTTTGTCAGCCACAATGACTAAAATGCTGTGTGTAAGGTCAGAATTTTGTTTGAACCATTTAGACCATGAACCATGAATTTAATAAATTAACGAGAAGTAGGTCAGCAAAACAGTTACATCTGTAAGAGTGTAAAGTATAATTCTCTTACACAAGCAAAATAGGTAATCTTTTCTATTAGGCTTGTCAGCTGACTGTGAAAGTTAAGCTGAATTTAATGGTATCTTAGCACTTTAGAGGTTCTCAAGGGGTCAGGCTGTGGCTCCATCAGGAAAAGCTGAATATAGTTGTAAATTGATGTGGCGAACCTGAATGTAATGCTGCGAAACTAATGGAATACTTTCTGTTGTTGTTTTTCTGACTAATTTTCAACAGTTGGGGTTTTACTGTTTATACTGAAAAGCAGCAGTGGTAAGTGCAATTAACTCTGTTCCTAATTGCACAGTCAATCACACGCTTCAGCTTGCTTTTTAGGAAAAACATTTATCTGGAACTGAATAATAGATTCTTTTTTTAATATTTCTGCCTGAAACTTACTAAGGTTTTGTACAGCTTAGTACTTGAACTACAGAACTGCATGACTGAATTTCAAATAGGACACTTGAGTGCCTCAGTGTTCTGAATATGTGCCTTTGCATCCTCCCTGAAAAAGGTATTTCTGCTGTAAAGGGAATGATTCTCAGCAGGACTGGGTCACCTCCATTATCAGAGTGAAGGTGAGCTTTCTTCATTTTCTAAGTGCTCATAATGTGCAGTTAACATTGTTACAAATGGGCATGGGAAGAGTTTTTTATAATGTAATTTTTAGACGGGTACTGTTCCACATCTGGCACTTAGTTGCTGTTTATTTCAAATTTTGCAATGAAAAATGAGGCATTTTTTGTAGCTTCATAAAGTTCCATGATATTACCATGCTTTTTTCTTTTTGGAGATAGAAGGTATTCTAGAAGGTAAAGTACTTCGGAGTACCTTGTAAATACATGGTATTACCATCTGATACCATAGCTGTACTTCATTGTGAAAAAGAAGTGTGATTAACTGTATCAAATGTGCATTGTAACGTACTTTAAATGAAAATAAAATTTAAAAGTACATTTTTAAACAGTGCACTTACAGATGTAATGTTAATAAAATAAAGGCCAGAACTTACGTGTTCTTAAAGATAGTACACTTTCACAGTTATGCTTCAAATATTTTTTGTTATGTTTTAAAAAGTGCAATTTGTAATAAGTTAAGGGTTTTGCTTTAAATTACATTTAAATCATCCACTTTAATGAAGCACATTTATTTTGATGTGGTGACTAACATACTAAAGCATATGTAAAGCACTTGATTATATTTAAACGGTACTGTGTTATTCAATATATTTAAGTTTATATATTTTAAATTAACTAAATTGTAACTTCATTATCGCAAATGTGTAATTACAAATATAACTTAATACAGAACACATACCTGTTTCAGTAAAAATGGCATTAAAGTATATTTAGTGTCATATTAGTTTTTCATCAATGACTGCCAGTACATTTGGCATTAAACTTTAACCATATTTAAAAAACAATAGAGGGAATTATGAAATTACATATAAAGATGTCCTACATAATTGGGTCTAAAAGCACTCAAAGGTTTTATGTAAATTTAGAATATAATACATTTTCATTTTATTGCAATTAGCATGCTGTTAACATTACATTCTGTTCACACTTAAGTCTCTCAGTATTATATTATTTGTACTAATTTTAGGATGCTGAAGTGTGCTGCTTCTTTTTCACAAGGGCCATGATATCCCCACAGTTCTTTTTTATAACACTGCATTTCCTTTTCCCAGAGAAAGTTAGATGAAAACTAGCCCTAAGAATTGAGGGAATGTTTTCAAGGTCATCCTCCATGAGTATAAATCACATTATCCGGAAAGGTCTTTTAGCTGAAATAAGGTCATGCAGACTGCCACAATAACACTGGTTCCAGCAGACTCTTCTTTAGACAAGCCGGGCGCTACTACACACAGAGGGCCTGACTCAACTGATTCACTATTAATAACTTAAACCAAAGGCAAGAGATGGCAGAGAAGTACTGTAGTAGATGATTTAGCCATTGTTTAGATCTCTCCTCCAGTCCTCTAACCTTCTCAGATTTTCTTGCCCCTGTCTTCGGTCCTAATGCCTCACCCTTATCTACTTCCCACAGGTTCGCTGTTTTCATTGTCGAGGTTTATTCGTGCTTTTGTGGCTTTGAACTGATACGAGGAAGAAAAATAAAGCGCTTCGGCTCTTAATTTTTTTCCTCTTCCGGGGAGGTGGGGCACAGAGAGGTGCTGGAGGTTTTTTTTTTTCTTCAAGCGGTAGAGTAAACGAGGAGTGGAGGGCATGTACCATAATTCAGTGTACATATTGTTGTGTCTCATTATTACTGTACATGTACTAAAAGCGGTTGTGCAGTCCATGCAGGTAGATTAATTGATACTCTGTGCACTGAGACTCTTCTAACCTCTCGCTGCTTCCATTTCACCCAGCATTCTGCTTGGCATGGTTTCCATAGAAACTGGCGAGCAGTGCTGGGTACGTAAAGGAACAGGCAGATGAGACCTGCTGCTGCTAAAATGAGGATGTAGACGTGAAGAACAACTCAAAGGCCATAAAGTCACAGTGGAAAGTATGAACTGTCTTAGGGAGTGTTCAGCTCAGGAATAGGTCCAGAATGTTCCAGCACATTTGTTCCTACATCATTAAGGTCAAAAAGTTAGTGTTAGTTAGACCTGCTTGAGTTTTAAACATTTTTAACATTTCACTTGCCTGAGACTCAAAGCTTAAAAAGTAAGGTATACATTTTCTGTATGAAACTATTTCTTCCTAAGTTCCCACTGTCATGGAAAATATCAAAATATCAGGTAAAAGTCTGACTTTCAGGCCTAGAAATGTCATGAGAATTAATCAAATCCTAGTTAATATAAATACAGTGCTTGGAAGGCAGTAATGATATTCCTTAAAACATTATTATAAAGGAGTTTTACTAAATAATTTACTATTTACTAAACTTTGTTGATTTCGAAAATATAGAATGCTTAGCATTCAAAAGGAAGTGATGATGTCACTGTAATATTTGCATACTAAATTCGTATTCCTTAGTCTTATTCGTTATAGTCTTATTCCTACATATATTTGCATACTTGCATATTGTGAATGTCTTTTTGTTCTTGCATATGTTTAACTATTTATAGTCATGTCAAGTGTTAATATTAATGTTCAGCTGACATCATTCACTATCGTTCACATGTTAGCTGTCAGTAAGATTGCTTAATGTTTTTGAAATAGGTCTTGCATGCTCATCAAGGCTGCATTTATTGTGAAATATATATAACTGTTTTTTTAATTTGATATATTTTAAAATGTAATTTATTCCTGATTTCAAAGGTGAATTGTCAGCAGCTATAACTCCAGTCTTCAGTATCACATGATCCTTCAGAAATCATTCTAATATGCTTATTTAGTGCTCAAGAAACATTTCTTATTATTATTTGTGTTGAAAACAGTTGTGCTGCTTAATATTTTTGTGGACACCATTATACATGTTTTTCAAGGATTCTTTGAAGAATAGACATTTGAAAATTCTTTTTGTAACATTTTAAATGCCTTTACTGTCACTTTTAATCAGTGATTAATGTACCGATCTGAATTGAAGTATTTCTTAAAAAAAAATCAACCCAAACTTTTTATGGTGGAGTAGACATTATGACAAGTTTCTGTACCTTTGCTGTCTAGCGAACACTGTTATTTCCTATAGGGTTTTCTTTTAGCTCAAACAGTAGAGCATTGCGTTGACATCAACAAGATCATGTGTTTGATTCTGCATAGACTGATCAAATGTAAATCTTCAACACAAAGTAGGAAAAAAGCAACTTGTAAATGCTTAAATGTAAATGTGTTTGCAGCATGCCAGTGACTTATGGCCTAAAGACCTAAAGCAGAGTGCATTGTTACCTTATAACCTGAGCAGAGGAAGAACATCCACTTACAGCACAGCAAAGACCAGCACAGCCAAACATCAGAGAGAGGTCAGCACTAAACCTGCTCTACACTCACATAAATGTCACAAATACTCAACAAACCTTTTCATTTAATGTTGCTTAATGACTTTTGTGCTTCAATGAACACTTCTAAAGGCCAGCACTGTTTGCAGTAGATCAGCTCTGATCTCCATCTTTGTTGTCAGTTAAACCATATCCATGTCGTCTTGTCCAGAAAAATGGTTGTTGGAATTGGGCATCAAGTTTATCCACTGCATACGAAACAGCCTTTGACTCATATAGCCATGTATATCCATGTACTTCCCCCTGTTCTGCAGGCTAAAGGGAAGTCAGTCCTCACTACAAGTATAGAAGGTTCAAATACACGAAACCAAATGACCACAGATGTGAGCAACCAACCGGACGTGATGCATAAATTGGCAAGCAGTGAAGGAACTCCGAGTGTCTCCGGGCTTAAAATGGTGATTGATGACACACTCCAGTCTCTGCGTAGACCATCACTTCAACAAGACCCCAGCGCTCTCACCCAGCTATCACACAAGAAGGCTGTGTTGCCCAGCAGAGGTGTGCAGTTGCCAAAAAACCTCATTAATGAACTAAGTACTGTTCTCAACAAAACAGGACGCTTTCCGAAAGAAGACGATTAAGAGAGACATACAGAGACAGAAAGACGAGATACTTGTCTGTTGCTCTTCCATTGTGCATGAGGAAAAACCAACACCAAATCACCCCACAAAGCTCAGTTGGTTCTCAGTAAGGAAGTTGGATGTTACTACTCAGGACATGGAGAGTAAGTACAGTAAATGTTTAAACTGAGGTAAACTGGTGGGTCAAACATTGGATGTAAAGACTTTTTTTTGCGCACAACTACAGCTGTTTGCCATAGGTTGCATTGAGCCTTTATCCTTCAATTTAGAACCATGTAATTCAGTATTATTGAACATTAATGATTGTTTTAGGCTTTTGCATGATAACATGCATTTCACTCTTCATTCTCATATCTGTTTTTATTCTCAATGAGGTTGAAAAAGACACTACTAGACAACAATGTTCCAGTATCATCTTAAATCTTCATATTTTGAAACTGGTTGTTCTGAGATAAGTGGAATGGTAACATTAGCATTAGTTAAAGTTGGCATGAAATAGAATTCGTCCATGCAGTTTTTTTTTTTTTTTTTGGCCTCGCAATTTTCAATTAAAAAATCATAAATAGATCTTCCAGTGAAACAACAGTTGGATACACATTCATAGTCAGATGTGCATCACAATCCGATAAAAGGATCTTGTGCTTCCAGGAGAAAAAAAGGTGCACTTCCATAATGTACTTACAACACAACTCTAATCTGTTAGGTATAATGAACAGTTACCAATACTTTTACAGCATTAGTTAGTCTAGGTTAAAGTTCATTTCTACAAATTTAACAAATTTTTAACATTTCACGTTACGTTAATTATTGAAATAACTATGAAATGAACAGTTGTACTGCATTTTTATAAATCAACAGCAAAAAGGTTGTTAGTTCATGATACCGAATGCATTGGCTAATGCTAACAAATTGAATCTTACTGTAAAGTAATCTTACAAGAAGTAATTTTTAATTCAGTTCAACTATTTTTGGTTCTATTTTGATCATTTTGATACTGATGTGCTTCAAGATCTACCAAGCATGTTTTTGACTCGAGAATTGTGTGGCATTTTTATAGTTGGGTACAAAAATAGCCCTGCTGTTTTCCCTCATTCTCATTCCTCTGTTTTTGTGCCAGCGGAGGTTGAAAACACTACCAGACAATGACGCTCTCAATTGCATTGATCTGTTTAGAACTTATCAAACCTCCATGTAATGAAAGTGGCTTTTCAGAAGTGAGCTGAATTAGTCATTACAATCCTAATCGTCTACCACGTGTTTTTTTTTTTTTTTCAAGAGAATCTTGTGCCTATTTATAGTTGGATACAAAACTTACCCAGCATTCCAAACACCCCAAAGTTGTTGAATAATGCATAATAGTAGGAGAGCATACACATTGAATATTGTCACCCAGTTTGATATTAAATATTTATAGTTTACATTTTATGTAGATTATGAATCACTTAACAGCCATCTGCATTTCATGGCTGTTTTTAAAATGGTAATCATGCACTCTGCCTGTCATCAAAACATGTAACATACTAAAGTCTTTGTGACATGGAAATAAAGTTAAATGGTTCATATAGTACACTAGCATTCAAAAGTTTGAGGTTCACCAAGGCTGCATATATTTAATAAAAAATACAGTAATAACTGTTCTCTATTTTAATATATTAAATAATTAGTTAACTAAAATTAAAACTATAAAAAAAATTTTTTTGTTTGTTAAAATAAAATAAATGTTAACTTAAATAAACTGGAATATTTTATTTTAGCGTATTTCCAAGGCAATATTTCTCATTTTCATGTAGTTTAACTTACTGAAATAAATAAACTAAAACTGAAATAAAAATGCTAAAGATTAAAATGAAAAACTACTGTATATAGACATGTTTAAAAAATGCTAAAACTTAAACTAAAATTAACATGAACAGCAAATAAAATAAAATCTAATTCAAAATATCAACAAAAACTACACTGCTCAAAAAATTAAAGGAACACTTTGAAAACACATCAGATCTCAATGGGGAAAAATATCATTCAGGATATCTATACTGATATGGACTAGGTAATGTGTTAGGAATGAAAGGATGCCACATCATTTGATGGAAATGAAAATTATCAACCTACAGAGGGCTGAATTCAAAGACACCCCAAAAATCAAAGTGAAAAAATGATGCAGCAGGCTAGTCCATTTTGCTGAAATTTCATTGCATCAACTCAAAATGGTACTCAGTAGTTTGTATGGCCCCCACTTGCTTGTATGCATGCCTGACAAGGTTGGGGCATGCTCCTAATGAAACGACGGAGGGTGTCCTGGGGCATTTCCTCCCAGAGGTGTTCTATTGGATTTAGGTCAGGCGAGTGTGGGGGCCATTCAATGGTATCAATCCCTTCATCCTCCAGGAACTGCCTGCATACTCTCGCCACATGAGGCCGGGTATTGTCGTGCACCAGGAGGAACCCAGGACCCACTGCACCAGCGTAGGGTCTGACAATGGGTCCAATGATTTCATCCCGATACCCAATGGCAGTCAGGGTGCAATTGTTTAGCCTGTAGAGGCCTGTGCGTCCTTCCATGGAAATGCCTCCCCAGACCATCACTGACCCACCACCAAACGATGTTACAGGCAGCATGACATTCTCCACGGCTTCTCCAGACCCTTTCACATCTGTCACATGTGCTCAGAGTGAACCTGCTCTCATCTGTGAACAGCACAGGGCACCAGTGGCGGACCTGACAATTCTGGTGTTCAATGGCAAATGCCAGTGGAGCTCCACAGTGCTGGGCGGTGAGCACAGGGCCCACTAGAGGACGTCAGGCCCTCAGGCCACCCTCATGAAGTCTATTTCTGATTGTTTGGTCAGAGAAATTCACACCAGTGGCCTGCTGGAGGTCATTTTGTAGGGCTCTGACAGTGCTCATCCTGTTCCTCCTTGCACAAAGTAACAGATACCAGTCCTGCTTATTGGTTTAAGGACCTTCTACGGCCCTATCCAGCTTTCCTAGAGTCTCCTGGAATCTCCTCCATGTTCTTGAGACTGTGCTGGGAGACACAGCAAACCTTCTGGCAATGGTACATATTGATGTGCTATCCTGGAGGAGTTGGACTGCCTGTGCAACCTCTGTAGGGTCCAGGTATCGCCTCATGCTACCAGTAGTGACACTGACCCTAGCCAAATGCAAAAAAAAGTGAAAAACAGTCAGAAAAGATCTTATTGTTGCCCATCTAGTGTACCTGTTGTTAATTTCATTAACACCAAAGCAGCTGAAACTGATTAACAACCCACTCTGCTACTTAACTGACCAGATCAGTATCCCAGGAGTTTAATTGACTTGATGCTATACTCTGATTAAAAAGTGTTCCTTTAATTTTTTTTTTTGAGCAGTGTATAATAGTATCTCAATGCTACTAAAATGTTCAAAAGGACAGCATTTATTTGAAATAGAAATCTTTTGTAACATTATAAAAGCCTTTACTGGGACTTTTGATCAGTTTAATGCATGTTTGCTAGATAAAAGTAAAAAAAAATCTTACCTCAGACTTTTGAAGAGTAGCGTATATACTGTATATTCACTGTATATACGTTGCATCTGCTTATTTGCAGTCACTTTACAAGTGCTCTCTCAACTCCTCAACGTCTGTATAAATATACTACTGGAGCACTGCCAGTGGTTTATGATCTGCTTGTAAAAGTATGCTACTGCCATTTTGATTTGAGAGTGTTTCTGTTACTGTTAATCAGGTTGTGTTCCATGTGTTTTATTGTCTTCGTCTGATTTACTGTCTGTAATCAGCCAGAGGTGTAAGTGATACACCTGCGCCATCTCCCTCATTAAAGTTTTTATGCTTGAATTAATTAGCGTGTTTATAAATGACGTCTGTCAGATGCTGACACCTTGAGCGTCGCCACATGTTACGGTTTTGATTGAAACATGTCGCTTCTGTGCTCCTGTCACTCAAAGCGCACATGTGTGTTTGTTCTCACCTGTTTCCGCTGCGCTTCCTGCCTAAGCATTACTGCTACGCCGTGCTGGCGCTTCTCTCTCATCTGAAGGTCACCATATGGCAGGAGTGTGGGAAATAAAGGACCTCAAATAATTGAAAACATTATGCGTGACTTTGACACACAAAGGAAGGTCGCTGTGTAGTGGTGAAATCCAGGCGTTTTGAATGAATTAGTTGGGCTGCATCTGTTACCTGGCAATTATATTGGCTACTGTTTTCTGAAAGTTTTATTAAAGGTTTTGTTTTGCTTGCATTTTGATTGAGGACATTAACAGCCCTATTTTTTTTTTAGTAGCAAATGTTTGCTTTTACACTCGTCCTACTAACTTTGGACCGGCCAAACTAAAATAAGAGTCACGCCAGGCAAAAGCTCCCAAATCACCTCCCCAAAATCCATTTAAAAAAGAGATTAAGCTAATATGACACAAACATTTGCTCATAAAAGATGCAGCATGTCTGTTATTTCTCTCAGGCTTTTGTTTTATCAGTACAAAGTCTATTCACTGTTAAGACTGAAAAGCAAGCATCGCCGAAGACTCTCAACCACCGAGCTTTCAGATTTCATCGCTAATGCATAACCTTCCCCTCATGCTATTAGTCAATAAACACTGAGCAGTCCGGAGAGATTACAACAGTCAATAAAGCAAGTTAGGTTTTTAATTTGCGCAACAAAATAGGAAAGGTGGGACAGTGCGGCTAGGCACACCGCAGGCACCGAGTGGCTCTTGTGGGACAATTAATGTTAAATTCAAATGATGGACTTAAGAGCTTAATTAAATAAATGATAGTGTGCTTTTTGTAGTAAGAGTGTTAAATAACTGGTGAGGCATTACAATGTCGCTTTTCCTGACCTCTTACTTTTGTGTTTTTGCAGTCCATTTCTGAACTATAATATACTTATTAAAACAGCTCTAAGTGATTTACACTCTGTATGTATGTAGTACATATAGAATACATACAGTATATAGAAATATATTTCTGCTTCAGAGTATTCAAAATATAAAGGTAACTGCAACTTTATATCTTTATGGCATAATTTCTCATAACTGTGTGACTTTATATCTCACAGTGTAACAGTGTTCCAAGAATATATTTCTTGTAATTCTGACTTTATAGCTTTCATTTGTGACACTTTATCTCTCAATATGATTTAATTTCTCACAATGTGATGTAAGTGTGAATATATCCACCACTGTCTAAATGGTTTGGGTCAGTAAGTGTTTTTTTTTATTAGGTTATTTATTAATACCCTAATTCAGCAAGGATGTAAAATTGATCAAAAGTGACAGTAACACCATTTATTTAATTTATTTTCTAACGTTTTCACAAAATATTAATCAATATTAAACATCTTTAACATTAATAATAATAATAATTATTATTATTATTATCATTATTAACAATAATAATAATAAACAAATCAGCATATTAGAATGATTTCTGAAGAATAATGTGGCTCTGTATAATAATAAGAATAATGTGACTGGAGTAATGGCTGCTGGAGTAATTCAG